ATTTTTTGCAAAAAATGAAAGATGAAAGAAGGAAAATCTAGATGACGTTACATACATACCATATACCAACCTAGGATCATCATTTTGCTTCTATTCCACTGCGGCCTCAACGCCAAAGCTTATAGTTCTTCCAATAAACTCAGATTGTTGCTTGTCTTCTGTGTGAGTGCTTCCGGATGGAAATACATTTAGAATCTATGGTTACTGAATAATATGCTAAGCTTTCCAATACTTTTTGAAAACCATCCTGGGTTTGCTTTAGGTAAGTTATAAGGAGCAGAATTCGTAAATGATCACCAGCATGGTGACTGAAAAGTTCGGAAACTCATTGGGGTCATTTTAGTGTCAAAAATCTTTTTACTTCAGAATCATAAATGAGTACAAGGTATAGAATCTGTTATCTTATTGAATTAAGCAAGAGGGGATTCACAGCTGTATAAACTGTAATATCTGCAGATGTTTTGTTTTTTGTTTTCTTTTGTTTTACTGTGACGTGATTTGGAAAGAAGTCCACTTTTAGGCTTATACATGATGAACCTGGCTTCCAAAATAAATAAAAAAATTAAAGAAAACAAACAAACAAAAAAAAAAAGACTAAAAAAACTAAAAAAAAAACTAGCCTCCTTTGTACTCAGGTAAATTTCTATTTTTTCCTCAGACCTCAAATGGCCTAAAACCAGGAAAGATAACAGGCTGTCTGTAGATCTTAACTTAATTTTTACAAATTTTCAACTTTAAATTTACTTTTTATTTCTTCAATCATACTTGATTTTTTTCATTTTTCTCCAAAAAACATGAAATGAAGAAGCATTAAAAACAAAGGATGGAATTTACTAATTTCACTGGTGGAGTTTAAATGTTTTCTATAACCAAGGCCAATATTTTGGTTTTTGCTGTTATTTCTGTATTTCTGATTTTTCCAATGTTTCATTGTTAATGTTCTTACAGTAGACTAAATTTGAAAACATTTTGATTAACTAAAAAATAAAGTTAATGTTTACTTCACAATTAATATTTATATCCTGCGAATTTGAAAATGCAGAACTAAAGAAACCTGTAGTTTTATCCAAATAATTCTTTCAGAATTCTTTGTTTTAATATTTCTATGTGTGCAGTACTTTCTTTCCAAAAAAGTGAAAAAACAATCCTTTGTTTCCAAGTTTGAAGACATTTTCTTTCCATCCAGGAAGATTTTTCAATTCAAAATGTCAGAAATAGCGTTGAGTTAGAAGCTATATATAGTACTTTCTTGTAAAATGCATCCATATTTATTTATTTTCATCGTAAATCACTGTGACTTCTATATTCAACACATTTTCTAGTAATTTAATGTATTTAATAAAGTAAATGACAATATTTGATTTAACAGTGTTTTGCTGTGTTTAACTTTTTCTTACAGTGATGATGCAGTGTTATGCATTTTTTATTAAATTGACCCTAAACTAAGTTTTGTCTCTTTCATCAATACATTTTTCAGCACTTTTTTTCTGCTTAACAAAAATACACAAAAGTATTTTAATATTCCCACTGTTGTTTTTAAATGAGATGAATGATTAATATTTTCAGACTTTTCCCATTTTAGAGTCACCATCTACAAGGGGTTCTGCTTTGTGTTGCAAGTCAAGTGATTTGTTTCAGGGTTTTTTACTTGTTTTTCTTCATTAAGAATCCATTTTAAAAGTTTCATTAACATGTTTAGTCTGGGATTAGGGAATAAAATTAATTCAAACATGATTGTTGATATAGCATGTTGATATAGTCCCATTTAAAAAAAAAAACCCAAATCATACATCCACAATATTTCTATCTTTATACCAAGTTTTTTTTTTTTTTTTTTTACAGAAATTCCTGATCATTTTCTAGATCCCCATCTTTATTTTGGACAGAATCTGTAGCAACTATGTTATAAACCCTCTCATTACAAATTTTCTGGCATAATAATAATTAATCTGCAATTAGGCACCAAAATAAATAAGTAAATTAGCCTGGTTCTGCTGGAGGTTTCTTCATGTTAAAAGGGAGTTGTTCCTCTCCACTGTCGCTACAAGCATGCTTAGTGTGAGGGATTGCTGAAGAGTCAATGACTGTTTTCTCTAGATAGAAAACTTTGAATCAATCTAGCTGGATTATGTGGTTGAAATGTGCTGTGAATTGGAAATAAACTGAAACTAAATAGATGAAATATTTGTTGAAAAATGAAGGGAATCATGAAACCTTCGTTCAATTTTTATAATTAATAATAAAGTTATAAGTTATAAAAAAAAAATGGAAGTTGGAACTGTAACTATAAAATCATATGCTACATCACTTTTTTCATCACAATGTTTTTATCCCTGCTGCTTACCTGCACTTTAAAAAAATGACATTTTCTAGAGATCTGTTAACGACATTTCTTTTTGTACAAAATAAAAAAAACTCTAATTTTGTTAAATATAATATTAATAATACCAATGGAAAACAATAAAAATGATAAAAATCATGTGAACTCCATTGTTTTTGATCAAATCACCAGTAAAGCTATTAACCAATAATTCAAACAACTTATGATGAGACACAAACAGCCTATTATTGAATTCAATTACAGCATCTTTATCCATAATGTAGGGGCCATTTATTTAAAGATCACCTGCCATAACACCCCATTAACTCCCCCCCCCCAGCTCCAGGACTGGCGTCTCCAGTCCTGCCACCTACAGCAGCCTGTCAGAAGTGTCACCTTCTGCGCCTTTATTGCTCCATTCCTCTCCGCTCACACTGCTGCGCCAAATCAAGACAGCCGGGACGCTTTAATGACTTCATATATCACATCTTCAACGTGTATTCAAGACAAACTGGCTTATCTTATAAAAATCCAACAGACTAGACATGCATTTAGGTTTTTTTCCAAGTAAAACGCAGCGTTTACGCGTTAAAAACAGTTAATAAAATGCTATTGTCATTTATTTAATGGTTGATAGTTTCGATGCTCCTAAATCATGCGGCTCTTATTGTCTGCTGTCGTTATTAACCGATTAAAAGCCGTAAAGCTTTTAGTAAAGCGCAGATCATGAAGCTGGTTTTTGGTTTCTGTCTTGCGGGGGGAAATGAATGTGGGTGATATCTAATTAGAAAGGATTATCCTCACCTTCGGCCTTCCCAGCCGCTCCTCTATTGTTCTGCTCGCTGAGTGGATTGTTGTTTTAAGGGATTTTGAGTGTTTTGGAGGGGATTTAATGAAAAACTCTAACCCTAATCACTGCCTTGGACACATTCATTTAGTAGCAGTTTAGCGGAAAGGCAGAAACTGTCCTGATGAACGTTGATGGTATGAAATCAAGAAAAGCTTAAGATTAATTGGGATAATCTATTTATTTAGAGAAAACCAAACTTGTTCTTATTGTGTTTTGTAACAAATGAATAAATACATATAATATAAAATTGGTTTCTGTCCAATAAAACGACGTAAAAGGAGCGTATTTGCGCGCCTGTAAATTCCAGACTTTTTTCACACGCAGTTGTTTCCCAGGGAAACATCTATTATCCTATTATCATGGCCGTGTCAATTCCAACCAACGTGTCAGGGGGGGGGATTTACATGACTATATGGCGTTCAGCCTGCAAAGCTTTGAGGTTTTTTTTTTTTGGAGAACCAGGGTCTCCTCCTGGGGGACAGCGGTGCCATTTCCCCAAATGAACACAACAAACTCCACCATGCGTTCCTTCCGTTATATATGCATAAAGAAAAATTATGCGCATTTTCTTATGATAAAAAATAACCATCTAGTCATCCATGGATTTATTTAACGGTTGTGCTCTGATTAAGCTTCTAATCGTGGGAAAGGCATAAGGTTTGGGGTCCTGGGAAGGACAGGTGAATGAGGGGCTGTCCAACATTCTTTGAAGTGCGCTTATGCACCGACGGTTCCCTGTTAGTCAGTGGGACGCGGCAATTAATGTCCTTCTTGACGCATTTTCACATTGATGCGTCAGCTGCAAGGCAGGTCTGTCAATCAGGGAGATCGGAGAGTATAAATATCATGAGCGAGTAGAGAAGCAGCAGCATCACTTTTCCAATTTCTCTCCTGCTGCACACATCTGGAACACCATCAAACTAGCCGTCATGGCGCATCTGAATGTCCTCCCAGCCACGGTCTTCTCTATGCTCTGTCTTTTCCAACATGCTTCCACTTGGTATGTCCATTTTTTTTTATTTTTTTTTTGGAGAATTAATTTCTATAGTTTAACTTTTCTCATTTTATTCTTAAATTTGCTTATCTTGTTTTCTCTTCACAGGACAGGGAATAATTTCCTCATGACCGGCCCAAAGGTAATGCGTAAAATCTGTTTTGGAGACGCACAAACTTCTGTCCCTAATTCCTTTTGTTTGTTTTATTTACTTTTATTCCTCTGTTTTTTTTGTTTTATTTTTGTGGTCACTTTTTAAAAGCATCTTTCTTTCTCTCTAAGGCGTTTCTGACCTACGCCAGCAGCGTGCAGATGGGCGCGCAGAGCGGAATAAAAGAGTGCAAACACCAGTTCGCTTGGGAGAAGTGGAACTGTCCAGAAAGCACGCTTCAGCTGTCCACGCTGAACGGCCTCCGCATCGGTTAGTCTATTATTTATTTACCGCAATCAGTTATGTATCTGCATGAATTCATGGATGTGCGCTCACACCATCTTTTTGGCTTTTACGCACGTATGCTTCCAAGTATTTTCTGTTGATTGGTGAGCTTTATTTTTTCTTGTTTTTGTCTTTTATTTTAGCCACAAAGGAGACGTCGTTTGTGCACGCAATCAGCGCCGCTGGAGTGATGTACACGCTCACCAAGAACTGCAGCATGGGGGACTTTGACAGCTGCGGCTGCGATGACACAAGGATTGGACAGACAGGTTCGCATTTATTAGTATTCTTTGTAGCCTTATTTATAATAATAATAATTAAAAAAAAAAAAGGTTAAATGAACCATACACTACATTTGGCAGGGGGATTGCCATTAGGCAATACTAGGCAGTTGCCTAGGGCCCCAAGTTTCTGGGGGCCCCATAAAACTATGTTAATACACCTAACCCTTATTTGTGCACATTAAGTTTCTGATAACCCCACCCTCAGTGTCCACCATATTGGATCAGTCCATTTGCTGCACATGTTCAGAAAGGTCCAAACAGACAGCAGCAAACCATTTGAAAACAAACCATGCAAAGAGCAGTGTTGCCAACTTAGCGCTTTAGTCGCTATATTTAGCCACTTTTCAGACCCCTCTAGCACTTTGATTTCTAAAAAGCTCCTAGCGCCAAATCTAGAGACTTTTTTCTGCTACTGGAGACTTTGGAGACAACATCTAAAAGCAGCGAACTCTGCTCTCCAGAGCGAGTAGATTGGTAACCCCGCCTCCTGCTCTCCTCTATCTTGTCTGCTGTCATGATTCATGCAGCTATTATTTCATCCAAATGAAAAATGGAGAACAGATAAGCAGATCATGGCTTGTCTACAGTGAAAAGAAGGACTGGGTTATTTACTTTGGCCTTTTTGGAAACAGGAAGGAGCAATCAGCTAAGTGAGCTTAGTGCTTGGAAAAAATCTTTCATTCCTTTAGAGACAGCATGAAAAGTCAGCTGAGTACAAAACATAGAGAGGAAAACAAGAAGAAAAGGGACAAGAAGAGAGGGACACAACCTAGAACAGATAATGGATGTCTATTCTATTAACATTTCTATAACCTGTTTTGTGTTTGTTGGCTTTAGGAGGCAGAGGATGGATCTGGGGAGGATGCAGCGACAATATAGCGTTTGGAGAAAAGATTTCCCGGCAGTTTGTTGACGCCCTGGAAGACGGACAAGATTCACGCGCAGCAGTAAATCTCCACAACAATGAAGCAGGAAGACTGGTGCGGATTTTTGCTTTTTTTTTATTTTTAATTATCATTATTATTATTTTCGCACATGCAAAACATTCAAATTTAACGTAAAACATTGATTTCTTTGACAGGCGGTCAAAGCAACTATGAGGAGGGTCTGCAAATGTCATGGAGTTTCTGGAAGCTGCAGCATCCAAACCTGTTGGATGCAATTAGCCGAGTTCAGAGAGGTGGGGAACTATCTGAGGATGAAGCACCGGAACGCCAGGAAGCTGGAGGTGGACAAGAAGCCAGTGAGAGCTGGTAACAGCGCGGGGAGCAGGACGACCATAGCGCACGCCTTTCGGAGCATCGCCAAAACGGAGCTAGTTTACCTGGAGGATTCCCCCAATTACTGCATGAAGAACCAGAGCCTGGGGGTGCAGGGCACAGAGGGGCGGGAGTGCCTGAAGGGCGACAGGACCATGCCTCAGTGGAAGAGGAGGAGCTGCCGCCGGCTGTGCCATGAATGCGGCCTCAGAGTGGTGGAGAGGCGCACTGAGGTGGTCAGCAGCTGCAACTGCAAGTTTCACTGGTGCTGCACCGTCAAGTGTGAACGGTGCACACAGATTGTCACTAAATATTACTGCTCGCGTAAAGATGGTGCGAGGAAACAGCAGAATAAAACAAAGCGCAAACCGCGACACTGACCTGGATCCATCCATGGACATGGAAATAGTTCACTATTATGGACTTATTGGAAACCTGACGGGTGTTTTATCTGGATGACATATTATATAATGCTTATTATTGCACTTTTTTTTATTATTTTGACTGAATTTATTTTAAAAATCGATGCCTGACCAAAAAAAAAAAAAAAAGTTGCTTGGTTTTTAAACTTTTGCTATAAATTATACATTTTTTTTTTATAAGTTAATAAATATTTTCTGAAACATTTAAGGCTCGATCTCATCTTCAGCTTCGTTTGTATATTGGTATCCTGGTGTCCTGCAGCACAGGAGGGGAGAGGAGGGTCATCACTTTGATGTGCGCATAAAGGCGTTCCCTGATCCAGCAGCCAATCAGATCCTCTGGGCCGGAAGCAGAAAAAAAACTACTTCTCCATTAGTTCTCTTAGAAATAAAGTGGAAAGTTGTAGAAAATTACAGAGAGCTCCTCAGGAATATCCTGCAGGTGAAGATGGAGGGTTTCATTCTTTGGCTACTTTTTCTGCACCTTGAAATGCACACAGGACACACCTGGTAAGAAACAAATAGTTTTTATCTTATTTGGAGAATCAATATAAAAGAAAAATAATGTTTAGTATTTTCCCTCCCAGGGTGGGCAGTAACTTCCTCATGACAGGACCAAAGGTAAACAGATCTCCTTGCAGCTCATAATAGATTTCATTTCCGGATTACTGCATGATTGTCTCTGTTACAGGCCTATCTGACCTATGCAAAAAGCGTGCAGGTGGGCACCCAGAGCGGCATCGAGGAATGTAAACACCAGTTTGCTTTGGACAGGTGGAACTGTCCTGACAGCGCAACCCAACCCAAAGGACTCAAAAGAGGTAGGATCATTTTAAGAGCTACTCCTTAGAGGATTAGGGCCACTGAAAA